TGAAGCAGATTCTTGTAACTCTCTTAACAGCAGGGACACACAAAAGATCAAACGCATGGATGCTGTGCTGCTGATCCATCTGCAGTTACTTTTGCTCCCTATGTAATTGCTCACTTGGTTGAAAAATCACCCATCAATGTGCAGAACAGTCTGTCTTTGCAGGCACCCAAATTCTGACACAACAGTACAAGGCTTCGGAAGTACTGTATTTCTTGTAACTCTCTTAACAGCAGGGACACACAAAAGATCAAACGCATGGATGCTGTGCTGCTGATCCATCTGCAGTTACTTTTGCTCCCTATGTAATTGCTCACTTGGTTGAAAAATCACCCATCAATGTGCAGAACAGTCTGTCTTTGCAGGCACCCAAATTCTGACACAACAGTACAAGGCTTCGGAAGTACTGTATTAGGTTATGAGAGCGATCATCTGGATGTGCAAAAACTGGTCTTGAGGATGATGCACTCGTCCTTTTTTTTCGTCCTGCAGTTTCCTTCTTGTCTCTGGATGTTGTAGGTTTTCTTTCTCCCCAGTGTGAAAATGGGAACAGCTGCTCAAAGCTTTTACACATGAGCAGGGAATCAAGTTGCATTTGTCTATTTATGTGTTTATTCCACAAAGTGTCTTTTAAGTTATATAAATGAGAAGCAATTTGTATGTGTTTCCAGAGGAATCTGTTTTAAATAGAACTTTAATATGTTATCCCAGATATATTCAGATGATGACAAGAGATAGGATGCCTTTGCAATAAATAGGGATTCAATTTTTAGGGGAACTGGCAAAGCAAAGGGCTGAGAGCCAAACTTGTAGGGGCTACTGTATTAAAGGAAATTATGCAAGGTGACCTTCTGCTCATAGAAGACAGGAACCAGCTCTCTACAAGTAGAGGTGTACAGTTCTGTATACCTTTCTAGACTCCTGACTGTGACCATCATCTTTGCGTGGGCCAATTCTATGTTTCATTTGTGAGCTTTTAAACCATGTAGAGGTCCTGCATCAGGTTAGTCATCCCCATTTGCTTGGTCACCAGGGGCAACCAGACATTCCCCAGGGGCAGATGTATAGGGAAATTTTCCCAAGCAAATAAGCAGGATGGTGAAGGAAGAACACAGCAATCAATAAGTATGGGGTTGGTTTTGCATAGAAGCTGGCTGAAACCTTGGCTTAGGATTAGAAACCTTTTTGGATGTTTGTCTTCTGTGAAATTGACAGGGAAGGTCTGCTTCATGTGGAGACCTGGTGTTAGCAATTTAAATCTTTAATTAGGTGTGCTGCTGACTTTTTCTTTAATTCTCTCACTATAACAGTCTCCTGCAGCTGGGCGGTTTCTCGCTCCATAACCAACCAATGTGTAGCATTAATGTATTGTTCTTGACACCTCTTTGTGGTGATTTGGGGGTTTATTTTAATTATTATCTGTCAGTTATAAAACTACCTCTACATTCTAGAATTGTCCTTGGAACTGGAAAAGAATGGACATTTTAATTTATTCTTTGTTGAGTAATTCAGAGTGCTTTTCATATATATTCCTGATGATTTTCATGACACATGTTAGCACTATGTTAAACATATCCCTTTAAATTATTCTCTTGATTGTTTCTAAGGAACCCATTATGGTAATATCTGGCTCAGCCTCCTACACTTTGTTCTCAAGCAGAGAAGTAGGTCACAAATGGGTGAACACTTCTTTAAAAATATATATATATTACTGGTCTCCCAGATCACATGTGATGCTAAAAATTTAAGCTTTGCTGGCTCTCTCACGCTGAGAGGTTGCTCAGTTCTCTGTTCTCTGAATTGCTGCTGCAGCTTTTGCTGCAGACAGACATATGGGCTACTGCCTGTTCTGAAATGAAACCCCATCTTGGATAAAAGATGTCACTTGTTCAGCAGCATAGTGGAGCAAGAATAGCAATTGCCAGGGATTTAAAATGAAGAATTACACATAAATGATTAGATAACATAAGCCCTGTTGATGGTAATGTGTGCTTTTCAGAGAGAAGAGCAGAAGTTGTACATCCCCAGCTAGAGAGAGGACAAATAAGAGCCAGTTGATTTATGAGACTGAAGCTTGCTTTAAATCAAAGTGTGTACAGATATAATGGCTTCTGACTGCATGCCACTGGGCGTATGAAATGAGACCCAGAGGAGGCTGTGTCTGGCCAAGATGCAAGATGGGCAGGAGGTAACAAATGCTTATTTGGAACATGCTTCTTTCCCCACAGCTGTGGCTGCAGCGTTTCATTGAGAGAAACTCCCAGGATATTCCTTCCGCCTTAATTCCCTGCTCCTCACATTGAGTTACATGACATCTGTATAAGTTTTTTTTTAAAAAAAAAACTGGCTTTGCACTATGCCTCTGACAGCTGAGTAACATGAAGAAATTAAAGTAAAGCATTTCCCATTTTGTTTGCGTGCCAGGAAAAGATTCTCTTGGTACCTTTCCTTCTGCCCAATTGCTGTTGATATCACAAGAACAAGGCCAGTAAAAATGGAGAAATGATCCCATACAGTATTGTGAAGAAGTAGGGGCAGCAGGGGAGCATTCCAGATGAACTCCCTTTTGTGGAAGGGGTCCGTCTATATTCAGAGATATTCATCTTTGTTCATTGCAAAACATTGATGAACACGTCTAGTGGTGTGTAGATCTGTCCTTCCTACATGGCGTGGCATTTGGCTATTTAAACAAGGGGATAAGATGTAAAGATATCTCCAAATGCCTTTCTTCCCACGTGATGCCCAAGTAAAAGACCTTCCAAGATGTCCTCCTTGCTGTTGCCTCTTTCCTTCCTAGGCTGTCTACAGATTTCCTGACCAAGTATGGCACGTGGAGCTCCTCCCCCTTCAACAACAGCTGTATATCCTGTGTGCTGGAGTTGGCATTTACTGTATTTCTTTGGACTACCAAAGCAGGTGAGAGAGAGGACATTATTGCCTTTTAGGTACCTCAGGTCCTGGTTCTGCTCTGAACCTGGGTGAGTAATTTGTCCGGAAGGCCAGGTCAGGCCTTTCTTTTGTCTGTCTCAATATTATCCATTTCACTACCAGGCAGCAGTAATTCAGGTTTTCAGGCAGGTGTCTTTGCTAACTTGACCTGGAGCAGAACCTAGAACTTTTACACACATAAAGCAGGTGCTCTAACACTTTGTTTGTATGCAGCGAATTCTTAATACAGTGGTGCCTCGCTTTACGATTGCCCCGCATTATGACGAATCTGCTTTATGACGATCTTTTTGCGATCGCAATTGCGATCGCAAACTGACGGTCTAAATGGGGGAATTTCGCTTTGCGATGATCGGTTCCCTGCTTCAGGAACCGATTCTTCGCAAAACGATGATTTTTCAACAGCTGATCGGCGGTTTCAAAATGGCCACCGGGTAAATAAAATGGCTCCCCGCTGTGTTTAGGGACGGATTCCTCGCTATACAGGCAGCGAAAATGGCTGCCGTATGGAGGATCTTCACTGGATGGTGAGTTTTAAGCCCATTGGAACTCATTAAAAGGCTTTCAATGCGTTTCAATTGGCTTTTTATTTTCGCTTTACGATGTTTTCGCTTAACGGCGATTTTCCTGGAACAGATTATCGCCGTTAAGCGAGGCACCACTGTATAGGTATTTGTGGGCAAGTGGTCTACAAATGTGAGGAAGCAAGAACAGGCAAATGGCTTAGTTTTTGTTCGTCTTTACATGATGTGATTCATTGCAGTTTTCACTTTTCAGAGTACTGTACAAGAGAAGTGGCCCCTGCCCTAAGTCTAAATGTTGACACAGGGAGAAACAATGGAGGAAGGAAGGAAAGGTCATGGATTTGGAGTCAGGAGTGGGTAGTGAGGAACCCTTCTGTGTAACTGGGCTTAATAGAAGTGAACAAGTGTGCATGTTTCAGAGGCAGAATGTGTGGCATGGACACTTCCTTTTCCTGAAATATCCTAGCAATTATTTTTCCTCATCAAGAATTACACAATACAAATTAGAACTTTTCTTTTAAAAATATTAATAATAGCAGGGCAGAGAGTGAATCAGATGAGGTTTGCTTCAGTGAGGGAATCAGTTATACTTCCTCCTCTCATAGTTCAGATTCCTATCCACACATAGCAAAACACCTTGACCCACAGTGGAAACAGCACCTTCATGTGTGGAGTATTTTGAGAGGGGGGGGTTGTGTTTTGTTTTTTTCTGGGAAAATGGCCCAGAGCTGGGTCAACTGTTAGAGCAGTCCCAGTTGGAATCCCTTCTCCGTTTTGTGTGGCTATTCATGGGGTTCCCCCATGTCATTGTCAACAATAGTCTTCAACAACCTTCTCTATTTTTCTTCTAGCGCTGGGCTGGGGTCCCGACCCTGCATGCACAGGGTTTTGGCTTTGACCAGAACTAAATAGGTGTCAACACTGGCTACGGATGCTCAGCACCAACACAGCACTGTGTGGCTGTGCACCCACGCAGCTTAGAGGGAACACTGATCCTCAGCTACTCTTGTTTCTCTTCTGTTGTGCTCCAGTGCTCAAGCTTTCTTTGAAAGAAGGTTTAGAGTCTTCAGGACAGCAAAAGGGTTAAATTGTTAGACCCTCTCTCTAGAGCAGGGGTCTCCAAACTTTTCAGTCGGAGGGCCACATCATATTTTCCAGGGCCAAAGGAAGATATGCACATATGCATGAGTGTACACCCGCACGCCCTCCTGCATGCATGCACTCCCACCCACTCATTCGACTGCCCATTGGGCCAGATAAAAAAGAACACCAGGCCAGATGTGGCCCGCGGGCCATAGTTTGGAGACCCTGCTCTAGAGCAATAGCTTTCTTCTGCTATCCAGCTGGCTGAACCCAAATTCAAGTTTGTGAAGCAGATCCTAAACATTCTGATTTATTTTACTTAATTTCTGAGTGTTATCCTTTGGCTACATTGAGACTTTTCCTTGTTTGCTTTGAAGGTTAGCAAAGCAGACAGATGGTGAGGAAAACGACTGCTTCTCCAGGGTCCTCCCCATGGGCTCTGAAGCTTGCACCTTCCCTGATGCCACCCTTTGCACCTTCACTCTGCTCAATGATGTTCTGGTCACCCTTTCCCAAGTCCAGGGGAAGTGGTGCATGAACCTCCACCAACTCCCAGGCCCTGAGGACCAGGAGAACTTGCCACGACAGCCAATCAGTCATGTGGATATCACCACCAGCACCGATGGGGACATGGCCCTTGCCCACTTCCTTCCTGTCCTGTGTTGTGCATCTTCTCCCAGAGCTACCAGTCAGAAGGAAGGCCTTCGCCATTCTGGCGGCTTCATGCTTGAGGAGCCCCTCTTTAGCCTCCTCTTTGGCATTGATGCGGCCATGCTGGATTCTCCCATGATCCTCTGTGGCTTCCCTGATGGCCAGCTGTGTTCTGTTCCCTTGAAAGCCCTGAGTTCTCCTGACGACCACAGTCATGAGGACTCGCCTGTCAAGATCCTTCATCATTTGGAAGAGCCAGTGGTCTTCATCGGGGCCTTGAGGACAGAGCGGAAGTCTCTGGATGGGGAGGAGCTGCCTGCCTATGGAGCCTTGGGCTGTGACTGTGTGGTAGCTTTGGGTCACTATGGCAAAATGGTGGCTATCAAGGCGGCTCCAGGGGAAGATGCCAAGGTCCCAGAGCTCCGAGAGTATTACCTGCAGGGGCCTGTTCTGTGTGCAGCATGCAGTGGAGGGAGTTGCATGTACTACAGCACCCATTCGGACATCTATGCTGTTGACTTGGACAGCAACAATCCGGAGGCTGAAAAAGTGGAGGACTCTTCAGGGACTCTTCCGTCAGCTCTGTCTCCTGCTAGCTTGAGTATCTGCAGCGTGGTGGCACTTTCTTTATCTTCTCGGGAGTCAGAAGGTATGGGAATGTATCTGAAGATTACTTTGGAGGCCGAAATTAGAGAGAGAGCCAAGTTTGACTTAGGGGGTATTGCATGTATACATGATGATTGCAGTCCTCGAAAATACCACTTGCCAAAAAGTGAGGTGAGGGAAAAACTGATGAGCTGTGTGGGAGACTTGCTGCCATAGAGATGCGCCTTAATAGCACTCATCAATTCTACTGCTAGTCTCTCCCAGACTAGGCTTTTGGCCCCAGGGAAGACTTTTACATCCACACAATTTTTTTTTACCTGTCAGTGCAGGAGTAGCACAAGAGAAGTAGTGTATGTGCACATTTGTTTGTTTGTTTATTAGTATTCCTATACTGCTTCTCAGTGTGTCGTTGTCAAGCCAAAACTCACAGCCTACAGTATAGACAATGGATGCCTTCCCTGAAGATTGAAGTGGCAGGGGAATGCAAATATTATGGGGTAGGAGGGGTCAGTTCCCCACCACACAAACCCCTGTGGAGGGGATGATGTCAGGGCCATAGCCATGCCCTCCTGATAGTAAGAGAGCGAGAGGTCTCAGTTGAAGATCTGGCTTGAGCTTCTCCACCTAGCGCCGTGGCCATGGAACTGGCTTTGCTCATTCCCAGTCTGGATCAGGATGGAGAGCCAGGCGGCACCCCCTCCTCCCCCATGGGCCAGGCTAACAAGGACTGTGGCTCACAGCCCTGGCTCAGAATGCCTAGCTTTGCTGCCTTTTGGTTTCCTGGGTCAGGAAAAGCAAGACTGGGCAAAGTTCTCTTGATTGGGCTTGCAAGAACCACGATACAATCATGGTGCTTGTAAACTCCAGCAGGGAGCATTTTCTTTTCCCACCTAGCTTGACACCCCAGTGGACAAGATGAACAACAAGCAGCTGGCAGAAATGTGGAGGTAGTGAGGCTTGAGGGAGGAGCATCACCTGCATGGGCACCCTTGGTGGGCTGGATTAGGCTCCTTGGTCAAAGGTGGTGTCTTTTTCCCCCTCTTGGGGAAGATATTGGGGCGGGGGAGGGGGGAGATTGGAGTCTTGGAAACATTAGTGCCGGTTCAAGCTATCGCTTCTGCTCCCCCACCTCCCCATTTTAGCAGCATTGGCTGTACTTGGTCCCATGTGTCCTCGCATTGAGGAGTTGAGATCTAGTTGCTATGGTGTCATGGAAACCCAAGGCTGCTTATTGAGGCCAGGAGAGAGATCAGAGCAGATGTGAGTGACCTGTGGCACTTGTTAGTGAACTGCAGGCAGGATTGGCAGGATTTGGTGAAAGGTTCCTCCTCCTTACCATTTTCTCTTTCTTAGACTACGGGCCCCTGTTTGTGTTTTCTATAGTTAACTGTGAATTGTTGGTGTCAGACCCACCCACCCCCAAAGAAGGGAGTGTATGATGGGTTGGAGCCAAGGGAAAGAGCATCATGCAGCACTTGGCTGACTCCACGCATATGTGTGACCCCCCCCCAGCCCAGGATTGGTAAGGGGGTGGCCTGCAAGCCCCACTTTCCCAGCCTTGCCCTCGGTTCCCCAGAGGCCTTTCCTTCTTCTCTATGGAGAGGTGACTATTTCGGGCAGGAGCTGTACCCCTTGCAAGCTGGCTCTGGGGTGCCAGGACTCTCTGTTGGTTCAGAATCCTGCATCACAGGATTTGTGGGGCTAACTCAGAGGAAGCCCAGGCACTGGCAAAAGGAGAGAACTGAATAGCTGCTGAAGAATACTGCTTCTTTTCTACCAAAATGGCTCTGTGGTGCTGAATTCTGTGTAGGATGGAGCCATTCTAATGCTAGTGTTTTCTTATGCAGAACAGCTGCATTGTGCTGGCTTACCAGGTGAGAGGAATTGGTATCCTGGGTGCAGGAAACAGCCTTCCTCTTCAGCAGTGCCAGGAAGGCAGTGCAGGCCCAGGGACACCCATTTGTCTCTGCCTGTAGAGCAATGAAAGGGTGGGCAGGGAGGAATAGGAAATCACAGGATTTTTTCCATTCACCTCCCCTTGAGAAGGCAAGTGTCCTCTCTCACTCCAGCCATGATGTGGTAGGAAGTGATCTTGAGTTCGTCTTTCTTGGTTCCAAATGAACCTCAGAATGATGGCTTATTTTCACTTCAGTGTCTGAGTTTCTGCCCAGTGGACCGTGTCATAGCACTGGCTCATGGAAAGCATGTGTGCATGTGTGTTTGTGTTTGGATGTGGAAAGTGAACAGTAGGAATCATGGGGCTGGGATATGTAGGAATGAGAAAGAGACTCAGAACAATTGCTCCCACTGCCTTTGAGCCTGTACCAAAATACTTCCCTTTCCTTCCAGACCTCTGCATATTCATGGGAACTAGCAATGCACCCTTTTAAAAACAGAATCCTAGAAGTCCCAGAAAGCCAAACATTTCCTATTCCCAGCCTTAGATTGTGCCTCTGTGTGCCATTCTGTTTCCCATGGGCTACTTCTCCAGCTTCTGGAGGGCAAATGCTTGGAGACCAAGAGGGAATTCATCTCTTTGGGGAAAGGCAGCGGGAATGCAATAAGGGGCCAAGGGTGCTGCTTCCGGGTTAACAGGAAACCAGCCTGTAGAAGGGCTCGGCTAAGTGCTCTGCTGGTGTGCCTTCTGACCACTCCTTCATTTGGGCATCCCTCCCAACTTGCCCTCTTATTTGGGGGAAGAAGCAATGGGAGGCCAATTGTCTTGCCATGCTCTGCTGGGAGTCTGCTTTGTAGTGAGAGTGGCAAATGCAGCCACAGGGAGCTACCTCTTCTCTGCTTCCTTTTCTCTGTGTGGTGCCCGGGATTGACTGCTGAGCCTCTTTACTACTCCTTGTGCACGCCACCTCCTGGTGTCATTGATTTTATATGTGTGATGCACCCCAGTGTGATCTGCCATCTTGCTCATAAGGTCACAGTAAGGGAGTGTCAGCTTTTGAAGTTGCTGTCTTCAGGTGAAAAGAGCCACATAAATGCATCCGTGGTGGCTCCTAAATCTCCAACACAGGCTAATCGCTGTGGCCCTTCCGTGGCTATTTGTACTTGTAGATAACAGACTGGTGGGAGATAAAATGTTTCTGAAGCTGCCCATCTTTTTCTGGGAGTTTTTCTTATGAACCTCTGCTGTATGATTTTACAAGGATTCTTTTAAGGATTCTTCTTTCTCTAGCCTTCCAAGGAAGGATAGAGAAAGGACCAGGGGTATGTTTTTGAACTATGGCTCCCAGAATCCCCCAGATAGCATAGCTGGGATCTGTAGTCTAGAAACACAAATCTGCACACCTCTAGAAAGTACAGCCTTCCAGATGTTGTGGGGCTGCTGCTCCCTTCCTCCCTGATCACTGGCCCAACTGGCTAGGCCATTGAGGAAATGCAATCTGACAGCATGTGGAGAACCACAACTGACCTGCTCCACCTGAAAATCCCACAGGAATTCTAAGGGGTACCCGTGAAATCCATCTAGTCTCCTGCTCTACAGAGAATCTGAATCGTCAGTAATTCCCAGTGGTTCAATGCTGACATCCAGGTTATAATTTGCTGCAGAAGCACAGCATGGGAGCCAACGTGGAGGCATTCTGTCTGAGGAAACATACAGATACTCTCCAATTCAGGAATGCGTGCAAGTGAAAGCCAGGGTGGAAACCTCTTAGGGTCGCTTCCCAGCCCAACTGAGAGAAAGGAAATTCTACAAGCTTTTGTAGGTCTCCCACCCTGAGTGAGAAAATTAATATTGGCCTGTCAGCTGGACCTTACCAGGATGATGTTTCCTGAGCTACTTAGGTATTTGCCTGATAGCTCATCCTTAGTTATCGACTCTCTCTAGTTTACACGTATCATTCAGGTGAGTAAATCCTTATTGTTGTTGATGATGATGTTATGTGCTGTCAAGCTGCCTCTGAATTATAGGGTTTTCATATTGTGTGAGATATTTAAGGAGTCATTTCATCAGTGTCACCCCATCCTGTGAGTTTTTATGCCTGAGTGGGGATTTGAACCCAGTTTTTCTGAGTCATAATCCATCACTCCATCCACCACAGCACCCTGGCTGTCAGGTTGATTCTTACTGCCTTCCAGAGCTTCCTGGTGTGGGAATGTAGTGTGTGTGAAATACTGCACGTAGAAAAGGCTTATGTTTGAATAACCCATGCAGAGGCCCCCTGCCCTGTTGGTATGAGGATTTTGTACTGGAGTTCCTATCCTTCAGTAGCCCCTTTCTAGCCCTTTTCTCTTACTCAATCATGTATATTGGTCTCCTCAGGTGAGTCTGAGCTTCTGGCTTTATCTGCTAAAGGCCGCCTCATGACGTGTGGCTTGTGCAGTCCAGATGATACACAGCCTGTCAAGATGAACCCTGACAAAGCTGGGCAGAGAATCAAAGAATTGCTTTCTGGGATTGGCCATGTCTCAGAAAGGTAAGACCTGCCGTCCCTTTGCTGTCGATGCACACACACATGCTGTGACTGTGGCTACAGGTGTACGGATGCAGGTTTCCTCTACTTTTGCATATTGTATGACGTTCTGTTTTCCTTAAAGTTGCTTAGATTATTCTGTGTGTACAACTGGCCTGAGAAGCCTTGGGAATTTGACATCAGTACAGTGGTGCCCCGCATAGCGAGGTTAATCCGTTCCGGATTAACCCTCGCTATGCGAAATCGTCGCTAAACGGGTAGGGAAAATGTATTGAAACGCATTAAACTTAGTTTAATGCATTCCAATACCTTTCTTACTTACCCGTTCAGCGAGGATTCCAATTGCCGGCAGCCATTTTCGCGCCTTCGCTAAGCGAGGGCACGGCGTGAAAACGGCTGCTGGCAGCCATTTCCGGGCTTCTGGTGGCCATTTTGGAGCCGCCGAACAGCTGTTCGGAGGCTCCAAAATGGGCGCCGCAATACCCGATCTTCGCAAATCTGAACGTATTCTGCTATGAAAGGGGACGTCTTATGTGCACCCATGAGAATTTTATCGTTAAGCGAGGCACCACTGTATTTGATGCTAAAAATCCACTTGTCAGTATTTTAGATCTGTCAGCAATTATGCAAAACCTGAGGGTGTAGCCACAGTGTGTTAGCCTGTGCAGGTATGCCACATCATCATCATCATCATCATCATCATCAGCATCAGCATCATCAGCATCATCGTCGTTATTGTTATCGTTATCGTTGTCATTGATTTTGTCCTACATCAGGAATTACCAACTACAACAACTATTTCAGAGCTACATTTGAGGAAATATGTGATTTGTCACTGGCTTGATTAGGAGTTATTGACTTGAATGGATTAGCTAGGACACTCTGGCAAAGCACAGAGTTAAGCGGTACAGAATGTGAGCAGCAGTATTTCTCGATGTCTGTGTTCACGTATAGCTAGAGGAAGGGTATGGGGAAATGTGTGTGGCCTGTCCAGGATTCTGACAGAGGAATTCCCATGCCTGATGGATTAAAATCCTTAGGCTTATGTGTTCAAGCCAGCTTTGGGCATTTGAGCTGTGATGAATTAGGATCCTCATGATCTAATGCCCCCCCCCTTGGTTGTTTTCTTTGCTGGTCCCTGCAGAGTGTCCTGCCTGAAAAAGGCTGTGGACCAGAAGAACCAAGCTTTGACATGCCTCAACCAGGTGATGAATGTGAGCGCCGCTTTGCTGTCGAGCCAGAATGGCCAGAAGCCCATCGCTTGCACCATTACCGCCCACTGGAGCCACATCCTTGTTCGGGACACCTTGAACGTCTCCTGTGTCCTGGAGAACTCGAGCGAGTGCAGCCTGGAGCCAGGTTGGACCTTCTGCGTCCAGCTGTTTGCCAGCTCCTATGACTTCAGTGAGGGGTCCTCAGATTTTGCCACAACTTACACCTTCCCAATCGACCAGCTCCTTCCTGGGAACAAGACGGAAGTGACCCTCCCGCTGGGCCCTGCTGAAGGCACCAAGCTAGAGCTGCCTTTCACCGTCTCCTGCTCCCTCTACTACAGCCTGCGGGAGATCCTGGGCACCATTTCAGAGTCCACCGAACTCCTAGATGACCTGTTTTCCGACGATTCCCCAGGCCTTTGCCCCGACAGAGAAGGCATCTGCTTGCCCTTGAAGGAGGTCACTATCGACCTCCTACAGTGCCTTCGTTTGGATCGTGGCCATGGCAGTGGAACCCCTGAAGTCAGCCCCCCTGCAGCTGCCCTGTCCCTCTCGGGGGATCCCCTCGAGACCTTCCTGAAATTGTCCCAGTTCCAGTCCGACCTCAACAGTATTGAAAGGAGTGATGAGCTGGTCCCAGGAGCACTGAGAGCTCTGGGAGAAGGTTACCTGATTCCTTCCGTCGCTTCAATCAAAGTGTCCTCTGACCTGATGAGAACCGCCCTGAAGGACTTGTGTGCAGGTATGTGATCCTGAGGAGTGGTGGTGGGCTCCATGTCTTCTCTCCTCCAGCCCCTCCGCCCTGTAAGAACCCAGTGTTTTGGAACCACAGTGGCATTTCCCGGGTGCTCTTTGCAGAGCCTGGGAAGTGGCAGCGTAGAAAAGTAATTTTTCCGAGCTCCTGGCTGTTTTGCATATGCTGGGCGAGACCAGTTTCTTTGCTTACAACCAAGGCTGTTGCAGGATGGCAGTGGGCAGTGGGTTCCTTCAGCCATCAGGCGAGTTGATCATGTTTCTGGGAAGCCTGGAGCCAAGCTGTTTGGCTTGCTGGCTTTTTACTCTGTTTAATCACATGTACAGCCTACTTTTCCTCCAGAGCACTCAGAGCAGCTTCCCTATGTTTCCCCAGGATGTCCCCTGCTTTATTCAGGCAGCTTCTACCCAGCATCGTTTTGAGTGCTGCCTGGTGTGCCTTCAGGCTTTTCCCTCTGCCAGCTCCTGCCAGCCGCTCTTGTCACAGATGGAAAGGCAAGCTGCCAGAGTCGCAGCTTTTTGGAGCAACTCTCATCCCTTGGTCACGTTCCGGGTTTAAGGGGCTAAAGGTGGTTTTAAGAAAATTTTAATAAAACCTCTCCCCTCCCATCTCCACCTCACCTCCGGAAGCCCTTCTTTGTGAAGTAAATTGGGTGGGCGGGTGTACACGCCTGCAGACAGACCCACAATCCCACGGATGCTGCTGCAGGACCCAGCTGGTTTTCTGGTTTATATCCTTATTTGGGACTGATTCCCAGGCGGCTGGTCGGTGACATGTGAGGATATGTTTGCCTTTGTGAGAATATTTTTCTGCTTTGAATTCCAGAGAAATCAGTGGCATTTTGTAATGAAATGCCTTTGTTTTTAATGTTGTTGACAACATTGGTTGAGAGTCTTTTCACAGATCATTGTTTGTCAAACTAAAAGGCCCAGGGACCAGTATTGGCTTGCTGCTCGACAGCAACCCTCAAGCCTGGGAAAGACTCCCCAGTTCTGTGGGCCAGATCAGGGCAACTCTGTAGCGAAACCAATGGCAGCACCTGGACATGCTCATGGTCAGCAGTGAAAAGAGAAGCACAAATAGCATATCTGCTCCTCAAGGAGAGGATGGGCCTCCTCCTAGGAAACGCTGATCTATCCGGAGAGTAAAAATTTCAGCCAAAGCCAGAATGAAATCTTTGCAAAAAAAAAAGCCAAATTCTTCCCTAAGGAGTCTCAAATCTCATGTTTTCATTGGGCTGGGTATACATTTGAATAATTATTTTCATTGGGGTGGGGTTTTTTGGTAGACACAGGAACTTTTTTGGAGATTTTGGACTACAAATCCCATAATTCTCTATTTTGGGAGTTCCACCAGGCAGACCCCACACTTCCAGGCACCTGAATATGACTCCCCTGGAGAAAAGGCCTAGTGGGGAAGCCCGGAAAGCCGAGCAGAGGCCTTAGTTCTTCCGCTCTGGCTTGCTCTGCAGATCAAAAGCTGCCCCTCTTGTGAGCTCGGAGTCCGTATCCGGGAGAGGAAAGGCCAGTCCAGCAGCACTAATCTGTCCCGTTGTGATCTTTGTCTTTCTGGGGCTGCCGCCGCTCAGAGATGTCGCTCGGCTGTGCTGTGCTGCAGTGGCTGCTGGTGGAGAATGCTGAGGTGGAGGCCCTTTCGAGCCAGGAGGCAGCAGGCGTGCGGGGGCTGGCGCCAGACGGAGGCGAAGTGCAGCTGAACATCCGAGAGGCAAGGCATGAGTGGAAGACGGGGCCAGTGAAAAACAGGAAAGGGGGGGGGAATCTTCCCGTGGGTGCAGCCCTTCCCAAGCGTTGTTGCCTTAGACTGGCCAAGCGGGGCTTTTCTTGGGCCTGGGCCCGAATTCCAGTTTGGGAAGGGTTTGGGAGAGCTACAGCAGATGTTGGGGCCAGGGGCTTGGGAGGAGCCCGTGGCCACGTAGGCCTGGCCAGGTGTAATTATTGCCAAGGTTGACATTTTCCCACCAAGTGTACAAAACCCAATTGTATGCTTGTTTACTCAGAGTTGTATTCTGGCACAATAGCTTTTACCCCTTCAAAGCCCAGCTCAGGCCTGTGCATGTCTGCTCCGAACAAAGTCCAGATGCAGCGGTTTCCCAGGTGCCAAAGCATGGCTCAGTTCAGTACAGCAGCTTCCTGGGCTGAGAAACAACGGTGTTCCGAGCAGTTTATATTCCAGGCTGCAAGGCAGAGCCATCTAAACCACCTTTCTGGGCTGCAAGCAGCCTGTTCTTTCCTATTTCTGATTTTTCCAGAGATAAGGAAATCTCTGATAGGAAATGGCAGCAAAAGAAGCTTGCTAGCTGATGGGGAAACTCTCCCCCCCACCTTCCGGCCGCCGCCCTCTCATCCAGAGTGCAAGCAATGTTTCCCCACCCTGGTGTTAGTGGCAAGTGAGAACTTTGTAGCCAGGATTGTACATTAAGAGCAGCCATGATACAAGGGCAGTGAGTCGGCCAAGAGCAAACTTTTTAGTTTCTGGCTCTAGACATTATTCTTCAGTGCACGTCCTCCCTTGGATGTTTTAATTGTAGAGAAAGGTCTGGTTGATTTATCTAAAGAGGGCCCGATTACCTTAGAATCCAGTGTATCTGAAAGATCTGTGGCCTCTTCTCTGGGCGCAAAGTGCTGCGAAACTGTGTTCGGCCTTCCCGCTGACCGATCCATTACTCCATCCTGGCACGAGCTGTGGTCAGTCAGCCCTGCCCAGGGTGATGGAGGTAAGCCCAGCGCTGCAGCCACTGGGCTCCAGGAGCCGAGCTTGAAGTATCAGCTAGTTTGTTTCCTCTATCCATCAGCTTTGCTGCATTTCTGTTTGTTCTTCTGTGCAAGGGGGAAACTAGAGCGGTTCAGCCCTGGTTGCACCCCCACCCTCTAATCCTCTGGAAGCAGCACTTGGCTGATGTTAATTGCTTGCTGCTTCTCCTGCCGTGGCCGGTTAACCCTCCAGGGTGAAGCTTGGCTGAGCCCTGGCAGCCACTGGGTTCCTCTGGCTTTGCGCATGAGAGCGTTAATAATGCCAGTGTGATTATTGGTTGTGCTAATTCTGCTCCCGCTAAACCTCCTGGATTAAGGTCGCCCGGGGAGTTGTTCGGGGGAGGGAGGCGTATCTTACTGGGGCACAGAGGAGAAGCCATCTCACTTCAGCAGAGTACGGTGGCTGTTTCCCCGTTTTTTAGCTGACCACCTCTGGGGTACTAGTTCAGATCTTAAGTACAGTGGATTTGGCGGGCATAACCGTGGTAAATAAAGGAAAGGCAGAAGCAGCTTGGTTCTCTGAACATGTTAATGAAAGGATGCCCTTCTCCCGTCTCTTTGGGGTCTGAGAAATAGAAGTGGCAGTACCTGTGGGGGGCGGGGGCATCACGGACTGTTACGGTCACGGAAGAGACGTGGCTGAATAGTTCTGCTGTAGGTCCAGAAAGTGTGTCGCTGTTTGTTCAGGGTCTCCTGGGAAGGAGTTTTGCCATGATGAATGATGATGATGATTAAATGGCTTAAATGCCTTTTGAAACATGTGAGGCATTTTACATACAAAAGTTCAAAAAGAGAAGGCAAAACTATATAAGAGCCGAAAGCCAAAGAGTTTGAAAAACGTGGGAGCGAATTAGTGGGCCTAATGCTGATATTTGATCATCGATCAATTGTATCACTAAGTCACTCAATTTACGGTATACAGATGTTCTGCTTTTCCTTATGCTTCCTGCCTCAATTCACTCGCTTCAGCTTTTCTGCATTCCAGCGTTTTCCCCAGAAATGTTCTAGTAGCACCTAGAGATCAGGGTTAGGTGGAACAGCTGGGTTAACCGCATTAATGGGATGGGATCTCTTTTGGTTGGTGCCGCCTGCTCTGCTCCCAGTTCTAAAGAAACAAAGATACAGAAGTCTCCCTGTCGCCCTGTGCCCAGCTGGAGCCTAGGGGTGTCTGTGCTGCCTTTTTCCAATGAATAACCCACCCTCCACATTTTAACCCTACAAGAATCCCAGGTAGAAAGGCCTAGTATACTTGGGATTGATAGTCTGGAGCAGGGTATTGGGGTGGGAAGAAAGGCTGTTACCCATTTCTGCATGCATGCAATGTGTAATTTGGTCCTGTGCCCAAAGGAGTCATGTTTCTGTTCTTGTTGCCCTCCTAGGTGGCTGTCAGTGACCTGAGCCCGACTGGCCCCATCCAGGCTGTAGAGATCATCATCCAGAGCTCGTCACTGGCCAACATGTGCCAGATGCACCACGCTGTGGTCAGGCACATTCAGGTATATGGAATTCGAAAGAGGTTGGGGGGGTTAGAAGGCTGTGGGCTCCCAAAAGGTTAGAGGCGAGCAGCTTCTTCCCTCTCTTTCCCTTGCGGAACATATGGCTTGCGACAGGCTGGCTCTCACCTCCGCCACCTCTCAACCCTCTTCTGTGAAGGCAGAGGCCTCCTTTCTCCCTTCCTGCAGTCAAGGCATAGCCCTTATTTTGGCTTTGTCACCTCCTGTTTCCCCTATTATTCAAGAAGGCCTCTTGAGAATGAGGAGGGGAGCAATTGTAGGAGAGACTAAATCAGAGACAATCTGCCCCATTTCAGAGAAAGTGTAGAGGTGGTGGTTTGAAGAGAAGGAGCTAGACATCTCCTGATCACAAATCTTGTCCTAGATTTAATGAGCTCCTTTTCATTTTATTGTGTCGTTGAATGCAGGCACTGGTTTTGGACCAAGCCACCCAAGATTCCACTCCTTCTGATATCCGGATGCAATATCTTCACCAGATCCAAGCCAACCATGAGGCAAGTGGCGTTCCTGCCCTGGAGGGATCTGGGGCTCCGTGGGCTGCAAGGACTGAGCCCTGCCCCGTGCTTGTTGCCTGGATTCTTTTCAGACAGTGGGGGCAGGCAGGGAAGGGAAGAGTGCAAGAAAGGGGAACCAGTAACCCCATACCTGGGCTGAGCGTTGGAACGGCATCCACACAGAACACAGGCTTGTCCCTTTCCGTCCTCCTTTGAGACTCGCAGCTTTATCAAGCCAGGCTGCGCCACCTTCCTACAAGAATCTGAGTTGACAGAGTAAATGACAGGGAATGGATTTATGGCTTGTTCTATAATTGCTGGGCTGAGACAGGCAGCTGGTCTGACCCAATCTGGCAGCCACTGTGTTCATACTATTTACGTTCTCCATAACTTGATTAGTAACCCCATTCTCTCCCCCCAACCACCACCACCACCATTTCCCTCCGCCTAGGGCTTAAAGCAGACATTCATATAATGCATTCCATATGATGGCAGGAGCTGGAAATGTAACCCTTTTCACCACCAAAACGGGCTGGGTTTTTGTTCCTGTCCGCCCCTCGTCAACACACCCTTGCAAGTTCTGCAGCAGCTAAGGTTACATTTCCAAGTAAAAATGTATGCAAATGATTCAGTGCATATGTAATTTGTAGCAGCAGAAGGGGAGTTTTGCAAGAGCAGAATTGTACAGAGTGGGACCCTGAATCCAACCGGGAGGCCCATCTAGAGGAAGCGGATTGGCTCACCACGCGGCCACTGATGCAGTGGGTTCCACATTTGGACTAGCAATTAAGATTTAGGCCATGGATGGCAACCTTGAGGTGGAGAACTGTTAACCCATGGGAGTGGGACAAAGACGGCCAGTGCTACTGGGAAGGGTAGCCCTTCCCCGATGAAGGCTGCCCTGCCGGGTCAAGTCACATCTCCTTGGCTGCCTGTAACCCAGCTGTTCCTTTCCTTTCCTTTCCTTCAGATGCTGCTGAAGGAGGCACAGTCCCTGTGTGATCGCCTGTGCCTAGGCAACGATTCAGACGCGACAGTGGAGAAGCTCCTGCACGTTTATCAGCAGCTGCGCAACCCCAGCCTTGTAGTCCTGTGAATGCGGTTATCTATCTTTTCGGCAGGCCTTGGATGCCTCAGCCTCTATCTCTGCCCAGGGCCAGTCGGAGAAAGGGAGCAGCTGGCTGTACACCTTGGGGAACTGACTGAAGGCAGAAGCAGAGACGTGGCAGGAGAGGAGGAGAAAGGAGGCCGCAGGGGGTCACTGCTGGGCAAGCCCTGCATCTGTCCCACAGGCTGGCTCCAGGGCTTAGCCTTTTCATTCCATTCCTCCTTCCCCCACCTCCCTTCCCTTTAATGTAACTGTTCCTTTTTCCTGGGGTTCTGGTTTCCTACAGTTCCTGGCAGATCTGGTTGGTGCAGTACGGTAGCCTCATGCCCAAGCAGAGTGTCCTGATGGATGGCCTCTGTGTCATGCATTTCTACGTGTGTGTGTGTTTTGTTTGGGTGGCCAACAAGGTGCTGTCGTGGACGTGGGTGGCATGTTGTGGGTCACACTCGATGTTGCTAGTGACGGCTTCTTTTGCTTTCAGTGTCAGTGGCTTTGCCGTGGTGAGAGGCAGGAATCTTGTGAGTTGTATGGGGGGGGAAGGGAGGGGTCAGGTTTTGCCGGCTATTTAACCTGTTTTGTTCACTTCAGACAGCAGCAAAAAAAGGGCTATGCCTTCAGCTGTGTCATATTTTTCGGGAACACTGTGGAAAAACAACGCCAGGATGTCACACATATAAATTAACTCAGGGGTGCTCTTAGTATGGTGCCCCTTTTTCTAATGGGGCATTTTGCTCCTTTTTCCAATATTTGTCCTTTCTATAAACAACTTGCTTGTCTATTTCCATGGTAAAGACTCATGCAGAGCTGTGTTTTGGGTTTTTTTTCCCCCTCTCTCTGTGAGTATATGTGTGATAGAGAGTGAGTTTAACTTCCTTCTTGAAAGGCCGCAAGGTCTAACCGGAATAACTGAGTATTTTGTACTGTTGTGGGCTCCTCTGAGAAGCTGCTTTCCTGAGCAGTGGGGTCTGCCTTGAATCTCCTCTCCCTTTCTCTGTCCCGGCGGAGATCCTTGGGGGGTTGGGGGGGGGGGGGTTGGCTGCAGCCTCCCTGCTGTGTTAATGCTGAAGCTGCTGCTTTAAAAGCTGCCTCTTCCCAATGAATAATTGAAAAGCCATTCGGCAAGTTCACTGGCTGACACTAAAGGCCATTAGGAAATGCTCCAACACTCAAGGGTGAAAGATGGGCGCACTTTCCTGTTGCCCAATCTGGAATAATTGATGTCATGTTTGCCCTCTGACCTCGGGGTAGAATCTTCACCTTGAGTTTCAGAGAGGCTCTTTGCAAGCAGATGGGGCTGGCTTTCCACCCCCACCCCACTCCCTCCGGTGCTTGCTTCCTCCCCTCCTCCCCACTTGAAGTCACTAGGTCAGCCTGCAAATGGAAGTGGAGGAGGGAGAAGAAAGCAGTTCTGCCACTCCAAAAAAAAGGAGTGTTTTTTTTTCTTTCGTGTTCTGCAGACCTGCTTTCTGAATCCTGTGGACGATCAAGGGCTCAGCCCCTGGCCTCTTTCCTTCTCCCCATAAAGTCAAAATGGAGGGAGGGGAACAGGAATAGCCCTATTACTTCTCTCCCTATGAACATGCCCTCAGGCTTCCTTGATACTGCCCTTCCACTGTTTGCAGTGGGTGTGGAAAGCAATTTAACTGTTCTGACTTCTGCAAGATCACATTAAGAACTGCCATGTGAAAGGGGGTGAATGAGAAGTGTGTGTGTGTGTGCACGCACACACAAGTGGGCTGTTAGTGCTGGTGTGCCTTCTTGAGCTGAAGGTGAGGTGCTACTGCTTCTGTCTGTACACCACTTCCTTTTTTTCGTTCTCTGAATTAGTGCCAGCACAGGTGGAAACCCCTGTCCTTGCAGAAGAGCTCCACAGGGTTGCCCTCTCCCTTATGTCTCTTGGGGGCTGGTGTCCAGGGGAAGATCTGCCATCCTGAGGGGAAGATAAAGAGAGGAGACCCTGGCTGGCTGCACTCCACACTTAGGAAAAACAGGAGTGAAGAGGGAAGGTGGTGGTGGCGGCGGCATTGTCTCCCCCATCCCCTGGCAGATTTGGAAAGGTTAAAATGGAGACAGCGGCCGGTGGTTGTGTCGGTTGCAATTACCCACCTCAGTGAGCCCACCGCCTGCCCCCTCTCCTGCTCAGCGAGTCTTGAATGGAGGAACTGACAGATCTGGGTCTTTGGGTCTCTTCAGTCACCCTGCAGGGCTAGCCTAATTGGATTTCAGCCAACCGGCAGCTAGAGACGTGCATGTACGGAGAGCTAAGCCCCAACTGGTTTTTGTGATTGGTGGGAGCCGGCTCCACTCGGAGCAAGAAGTCCTTTTTCAGATACGCTCCCACTCAGAAAGGCAGCGATGGGCTGCTGTGGGGCGGAAGCATTTCCCAAGTGGGAGATCAAGAGAGCAGGAGTTTTACTGAAGCAAAGGAGCCACAGAGGAAGGAGTTCCTGGAGCCTTCCGTGATCACGGCTGGCCCACGTTCAGATTGGAGGGAGTCGCTTAAGGCTGGCTGCTGCTCGCTGGGGTGGTGCTGGCCAAAAAAAGAGGAGGGAATGAAGAAGAGCGAGAAAGACCGGCTCTTCAGCAGAGCTTGTTAAGTTACTGCCTTGGTCTGTAACTTGCAGGCTCCCTCACCTAAGAGTTGCAGTCCAAGAAAGAAACTGCACTGTGCCGCCGAGTCTTCTGTGCATCTCAGTCTCTGAACTGGACGTGGAAGCCCAAAGCATCGCACTCGTGGTCTGTGCCCTAGCTCCATGTCTCTTAGCTTTAGCACAGTTTCTCAGTTTCTCAGTGACCTGATTATAAACTGAAGTACTCCTGTAGCCTCGAGTCTGTAATCCTACACCAATGCTAATGCAAGAGCAGGTGATACCTTTTATCGGGCCAGTAAGAATTTAAACAAATGGCAAGTTTTTGTGGACAAAATTCACTTCTTCAGGCTAAGCACACCTCCTTCATGATTAGTGCAGAGAAATTGTAGACAAGAGTCTGAAACTCTTGATTATACATGTCAGACAATTCAGGTCTTCTTGAGGCTGGGCCTCTAAGCAGAACTGCTCCTGATAAGACCTTTTGGAGGTCACTGATTATATTATAGAGTCTCCAGAAGTGGGAAGCAACTTAGCACATAACACCAACAGCATGGCTATTGCTAGAGACTGGATAAGTTACTTTCTAAAGACTGTGCCTCCCCATCAAATCCCCCAGTGATTGTGGGCATCCGAGTCCAAAAAAGTGGACTCTTTTTGAAGCTCTCGCTACTTGATTCAGCTGGACCAGTGTGGCTTCATGGAAGGCCATCGCTACCACCACTGTGCCCGCTATGTACCATTCATTTAGATAATGGAGGGTTTGCCCAGCAAAAGCACTTCTGCCTTGCTTTGCCTCCTTGCTCTGAATTTTCCCAAGATGACAAGAGAGCAGAACCAGTGTGCTGCGAATCCCACAGCAAGAACCAAACGGGAGAGGTGGGTGAGGCAGATTGTGTAGCTGCAGTACCCAGTTGCTGTCAGCAGGGGTCAGCGGGACACTGGGCTCGTTCTCCTTTTTCCCCGTGCATATAGTACTAGTACAATTGTTTCCCCTGCAGGCAAGGCTGCTGTGGAAATGCTTCCCTTTGAGATTCCAGCTTGACTATAAACCCAAGTGCTAGCTAGAGCCATTGGGCAGGTCACCTGTAGAAGCTTGAGCCAGGGTGCATTTTATCATAATTATTGTGCCTTTGTCACTGCTCTTGACCCCTGGATTTGGTAACCTCATGGTGGGGCTTTCTTGCAGCAGACGTTTGAAAATACTAAATGGTCCTGTTCGTGACTCCTGTTTTGCTGCCTCGTGATGCAGTAGTGGCACTTCGTACACACACACAGGCCTCTAAAGGATGCTCTGTATCTTCTGCACTATACTGTATTGCCAGTAGCAGAATCTACATTGTGCAAGTCCCAAAGAAACAAACCCCCTGGATTTCAAAAGCTCATTTTCAATATAGGTAAAGGTAAAGGTTCCCCTTGACAATTTTTGTCCAGTCGTGTCCGACTCTAGGGGGCGGCGCTCATCCCGCTCTTCAAGCCATAGAGCCAGCGTTTGTCCGAAGACAATCTTTCCGTGGTCACATGGCCAGTGTGATTTAGACACGGAACGCTCTCAAAAGCTCATTTTCAATATACTCTCTATAAAAGATACGGTTTTAATAGTTCTTCCAAGTCATATTCTAGATTCTTCAACATATGTTTTTACACCTCTGAAAAAAGTAACTATACAAAACTGTGGCTGGACTTGGAACTGGCAATCCCCTTTTTTGGGGTGGTCTTTATCTGCCTGAGCAGTTTTGCAGCCGCCCCACCACTAACCTTTGGCACGAAGTCGAAACTGTGGTGCCTGTGGAAGTCTTGTCTGTGGCCTTTCAAAAAATCTGCTTCAGCTGAAAGCCCAAGGCTACAGAAAATGGATGGTACTGGTGTTTATAGCAACTAATGATGCGCTTTACCCTACCATGGGATGTGTGTTTCACAATTATTCACACATGGACAGATCATCCGGTTCCAGCACTGTGTGCTGAGCGCTTGGTGAGGCCTTCTGCGTTCAGACTAGCAGCCTTTATGTTCCAGAAGTTTGGATGAGGCTTAGTAGACCTGTCAGTGTTGCTGCTACTCCTATGTGTGGCCTTTGTGTCACGCTGGGATCTCTTCTTTATACAGTATTTCCCTGCACAGCCAGCTGGACCTGTGTGTAAGCAGAAACCAGCTGCCACCTGCAAGTAGCTGCATTCATTTTTGTGCCCCCAGGCACTTCTAAAAGATGGCCCAAAGACATTGCACAGCTCATCCCTCCCTCATTACTTATTTTGTGGAAAGTTGGGAGGGGAGGCAGAAGTTGCTGGGGAGGGGAACCCAGGAGGGTTACAGCTGTGAGACGTTTGGAGCAAGGCCAGCCCTGCCACCAGGTGGGAGGGGGCAGCCCCCTCAGGAAGCAGATGCTCAGTGGGGCCTGAGGTGGAGGCTGCCACAGCGCTTGTCTGTTGCCCCACAATCTATCTTTGTTGGCTCCGCCTTTAAAAGCACAGGTATGTTCCTGAAAAATTGGAGTAAGAATATGATGTCAACAGCCAGGAGCTTTCTGTGGGTGCTGCTGAATGTGAATTTAAAATTACACGAGGCACCCCGAGAGGGACCTATCCAGTCTCCTTTCAGGAGGATGAGCATTTAGGCCCTCACAAGTATTGTTAGAGGACGAGATGGTTGGACAGTGTTATCGAAGCTACCAGCATGAATTTGACCCAACTCCAGGAGGCAGTGCAAGACAGGAGGGCTTCGCGTGCTCTCGTCCATGGGGGTCACGAAGGTGGTCGGACACGACTAAACAAGTACTGTATTGTTAGAGTAGAGCTCCCCTCATCAGCTCCACCCAGGGCTTAGGGATGGTGAGAGCAGCAATACAGCGACAGCCGGGAAGTCACACTATCCCTGCTCAATGACCACCTCTTCGGAAAAGAGACACTGTACTCGCCTGGATGGATGGCAAGCTCCACCCTCTTTATCATTTCATGGATGAAGCCCAACCCTCCTTCCCCCCCCCCTCTCCGGGCGATAATGGTATAGCTCCCACCACCGGGGCTTCCTTCTCGGAGCAGCTCCCCCGGAAGCTACCTTCACGCCAACAAAGAGGGGGGGGAGAAAGGGTGTCGGGGCCAATCACCGCCATCCCATCTGGCGTCCGAGCCGCCGACCACGCGCGCTTGCTGCCTGTAGGGGGCGTCGTCGCCGCCGCTTCTTTCTTTGCAGCTCCGGAGAGGCGGCGGGAAAGCCACGCCCACGTCGAGCGCCGTTTTGCTCCACCCGCTTCAAGCTTCGACGTTGTTTTGTTTTTTTTTTGCAAACGGAGGCCATTTGGTCAGCAGAGATCCGAGTAGCCCTTGTTTGCACGGTGCGTGGTGTAATGCCCCCCCCCCCAGGGGAGAGCGCGGAGAAAAGAAAGGTCGCTTTTCACTCTCCGCCGCCCGCTCGCCCCTCTGGTCGCTAGGCAGCAAAACTCTTGATTTCTCTAGAAACTGAAGAGGCTGGAATCCGTCGCCACCCTTGCCCCAATAAAGGCTCCGTTCACCCCTGTTATAATCTCGGGCATTCAGAAGGATGTTTATCGTCTTTACGCGGGGAGTCAGAAAGGAAGCCCTCTCGTGCGTCTTTGGCGAGAGCCTGTTTTAGATTTGCACATTTCAATGGGCGGTTGTGCTTGCTGCTAGGATTCTTTAAAACCAGTGGGGGAGCGGTGGCTTACTCAGAGTTGTTGATCTTGGGTGACTAATGTCTTGCTGGTGCTGTCACTAAAGTTCTCCTTATATGGCCCTTCCCGAGTTTGGGTTGAGTTCCCCCCCCCGCCCCAATTTCCCTTTCTTGCAGAAGCCATTCTTGACTTTATATGGAGTGTGTGGCCAGCTGGGCTAGTAGGACAGGGCTGCCCCTCCTGAAGAATGTGAAAGACCACAGTCTGCAAGTTTTGTGTAAATAAGGCTTCCGGAGCAGTAGCTGCCCACGTTGGTAGGTCTCTGATAACAAAAACAAGAGGTCGTCTGGTCGCCCCTGAAGGACTGACAGGTTTTGCTTGGCATAAGCTTCTGTGGGCTGAAGCCCCAGGAATGCCAAATAAAACTTAAGTCTTTAAGATGTTACAAGATCCTCTGTTGTTGTTGTTGTTTGCTGTAAAAGTGAAACTGCCTCCAAGGTGTGATTGTGCTGCTGCTTACATGATGGACAGTCGTTCCCCCAAACCCCCCTCCCACCAGCCCCCACCCCTTCCCAGTGGTGTAAAATATGGCACCTCACCTTTCTACCACCTTTGTGGACTTCTGCAGCTGCGGAGGTGATAGCATGGTGGCTGGGAGTGGCGGCTTTAATTCTGCCCTCCCTCCTGAGCCCCAGAGAAAATCTGCACTAGAAGGATTTTCAAGTCAAATGGTTGACACCAAGTCTACTTGCCTGCTTTGCCTTTTCCCTCTCCAGATGCCTTAAACTAGCACCTCTAGGGTGCTTGCGGCCCTCTGGAGGTTTTTAGGCTCAAACTCCTATTAACTCCAGCCGGCATGTCCCAAGTGGAGAGGAGTGGTGGAGGTTGCAATCGCACTACATCTGGAGGGCCGCAGATCCCCCACCCCTGCCTCGCGGGTGACTAACCAGGCAATGCTGCACTCAAGTTACTTCCATTTGCTCCTCCTGCCTTTAGCCCAAGTGGTGTCCCAAGTCTCTTCCCACTTTGATGGTGAGGGAAAGGTGAGGGAAATGAGGCCAAGAGTCTGTGAGTGGCTGAAGGTTGCCTTCCAAGATTTGTGCCCAAATGGAGGGTTTGCACTCGGGTCTTCTGCATCCTTCCCCAACAAGCTAACAGCTACGTTGACTTAAGGGACTTCAGCAAGGACTTGACCTTCCTCTCTTCTAGAAGGAATAGACTCCACCTTCTACAATCCCTTACTTTCAGCCACACTGGAATATCAGCCAAAAATACCTGGACAGTAATACATTCCCCCACTCCTGGGCGATGTAGGGTTCAGAGGAATCTCAAGGTGACAATGTGAAACATGACACCACGTGATAAGACTGCTGTAGTGTTACCTTTCCCCAGCAAAAGAACAGTAGTGGAACAGCTGGGTAGATGAGGGATGGGAACACACAAAGGCCCTGCCTACCTTTTCAGCTATACAGTAGTTGTAACATCACACCAACGCCAGGCTTGGTGTGATGGATTTCCTTTCCATAGATTTCAATGGGAGGGAAATAGCTATCCTGTGTCACTCAACCAGCCAGCAGACATTTTGTGCTGGGCTTGTTAACCCCAGAAGAAGGCTCCAGGTGTTGGTATCAGATCGTGAAATCACAGATTTGTATTAGCCAAACAAAGCTCTGCCCAGGCCCAGGAAAACCCTCTCCCCGCCTTTGAAAAGGGCTGTTCCATTGGATACGGAATAGGCAGGTGAAACAAGTGGGCCAGAAAACCCTCCAGAGCCTACTCACGGAGGCGGCAAACCTCTACCTATTTTGTTTTATTTATTTATTTTAAAATTTCATACACCGCACCTTCATTCAAAAAGACACGTTTCAGGGCGGTATATACAAAAATCAAATATTCATTACAATAAAAATCTATGCACGATGCACCAGCCTTACTCTGCTCTGTGGGCACTGTTAACAACTAGAGGACTTAGGGGGGCAGCCCGGCTGTGATTCAGGGGCACAGATGCTTCTGAGGGATGCCTTTATGGAATGGTGTTCCTTCCTCCCTTAAGGGATCTGCAGAGGGTGAAGAAGTGGGACTTTGCTCTGGCTCTCCACCGAAATGCAGGGCTGTGTAGAAAGTACTGGGAGGGGGGTGAGAAATGCCAAAGACAAGCAAGAGTACTACTGCCCTTTAATTCTGGTTCACTATCCAGCATTTGGTGTGTTTTTTTATTTATTTGTTTGTTTGTTTTAGTCCTCTCAGCCCCAGCAGAGAAGAGCATATTTATCCCTGCTTTTATAAATAGTAATTAAATTAAGTGAAATCACAAAGTGGTGGGAGGCCTCTTTCCTCCAGAGATTGTCCTGTCTGCAGGACGTTCTCTGCCGAGGGCATATTATTTCTTTGGTATTTGGGCAGGGCAAGCCCCATTTTCAATAATTAGAATAAAATTCCAGGGAGGAGGTATCTTCTGAAGATGGGCTGGTAATGCTGGCGTGTGGCCATTTAAAAGCAAACTAGCTGACCAAAACTTTCCACCCAAATCTTGCAGGCCACCTCAGGATCCTGGAGCAAGGGCCTCCATTTTATCCCAAGCAGCAGTACGGGAAACGGTGGTCTCTCGCAGGGGGCTGCCAGGCAGTTGCCTTCCCTATACAGCTGATGAAACAGGACGCTCCACTGAGGTGGCTTCCTTCCTCTTCTTTAAGTTATTTGTTGAAGGGATACAGAATGTACCAGTGTGTGCAAAGAAGGCAGCTATTCTGACAGCCACAGCATGGAGGCCCTTTTGAAGGCCAGACCGGCTTAAGTCCTGCAAAAGGACTGAGAGGGTTGCAAAAACTTGGAAGAGGCTTAAATTTGGGTCTCCTGCACCACTTTCCTTCCCCACTCCCTCCTCAATCTGCATACAAAGACCTCAGCTAGTTTCCTTCCAGTTTCTTTCCAAGGGACACTGATTGTGGAGGACTGAAATCAGTTTTCTTCCTGCCATTCTCCCTTCTGGACTTTACAGTTCTCTGCAGCTAGACCACCCCTATGGAAGATATTCTCAACTGTACTGGCGTCTAAACTGCATCCATAGGCAGCCTCCATTCTCCAGCAAAAGCAGCGAGAACAGGAGCGGCGCCCCACAAAAATGCAAAGCACACAAAAGAGCTCAGCCTATGATTTCTGAGAGAATCACAGGAGGGTTGGAACTTAACAGCTGTTTTGTTAAACAAGGACAACAGGTTAAAAAAAAACATTGCAGACCCAAACTAAAGAAAAATACTGACAAAACTGAACAGGAGATAGAGCAGTCTGGATTCTGCTGGGGGCCTCTGTCGATAAAGGGATAAAATTGATCCCCCAACCCTGCATGCAACTCTCATGGTGGGGATTGCTCTCTATCAGCATCCCTAACACTTGCCTTTTGCATCTTCAGTCAGTCTGTGGTTCCCCAGCATAATAACAACTCCTCCTTGAAGTTGCAAAGGGCCCTGCTCCGTTGGTCTTCCCTATCTGAAGTACGGAGCTCATGGCACCGACGCCACCACACAGGATTCTGGAGCTCTGACAGCCTTGAAGGGGTAACGTGTAACAGTTTCAAGAGAGGGAAAGAGAAGACAGCTGTAGGCATATCATACTGACTCTGAAGTGGGGCCGCTACTGCTTTAATCCTGATTGATTAACATCACAGTATCTCCCTCCCGGGAGCCTTATTAAGGAGCTGCTTCTATGGCTAGACAGAGAAAGGCTACAGAGAACAGGGCAAGAGGCTTCTCTGCCCACTCACCCAGCCAGAGGTGTTTTTTTCCACGGATAGTATCAGGAGGATTATCAATCCCTCTGGCATCTGGGTGCGGATCCGTCGGCTTCCCCTTCTCCTGCCCCATCTCGGTGTCCACCCTGAGCTCCCTCGGCCTCTGTGGTGGGCCCTAGAGTGTATCTAAGGTGCTACATGGCCAGCAGGACACATCAGTACTCCCAAAGCGTGGCCCGGTGCAGGGTGTCTGCATCAGCCCGCAGGGTTCCAGCTTGGTCACCTCGGAGGTATTTGCCATTCTTCCCTTTAATGGCCACTCGGCTGCACTCGCGGAACTCAAAGAAGAAATCTTCAGACATCTCCCCGTCACTGCACACCGTGCCGTTGCTGGCCACGTACCAGAACTTCCCTCCGAGGCCTAGGAGCATCCAAAATGCAGGAATCACTGGCGTGTACATGGATTATCAATACAGCTGATCTATTAAAAGGAAGGGACTTCCAAATGCCAGATGCAGGGGAAGGGGGATCAGGGGAAACACGTCTCTAGTTTTCTTGTGCGCTCCCAGAGGCCTCTGATGGAGCCACTGTGAGATACAGGAAGCTGGACTAGATGGGCCCTTGGCCTGATCCATCAGGGCTCTCCTTAGGTTCTTATGTGTTTAGGTTTCCCTTCCATCCCATTCATTGCTCACAAGTTTCCCTCACATTGAAAAGGCAGAGGTTCTTTTAAAATTCATCACTAAATAGACCGTCAGCCTTACCAGCGTGGAGGACTGAATGGGATGGAAATCTGTGGCAAGACTAGAGTTAGGTTTCTTGGGGGGGGGTAGCTAGGAGGATAGGTTTCATTGAAAAGAAACTAACAATAAAAGGGAATGAGTGAAAATCTTATTTAATCCACTCTTCCCAACAAATGGATGTCCCCATTTATTACCAACAAGCAATAAAGACTGTGGAACAAACCTCGTGGGACACATAAAGTGAACAACTTGAGACCTGACAGCTCTACATGGTGGAAACAAAAGCTAAACTGTCCTATGGAGAAGGCAGAGCAAAAGCACAACCTCTTAAAAAATGTGGTCATTGGTAGAACAGCCCAGCATCCTGTTTAAAGTGTTGTCTGCAATGTCTTTTATTTGAAGGCTAGTCCAGCCCAGCCCAGTTCCGAGGCCAAGAATCATCAGAAGGGAAAGCAGAGGGCCTTGGATTTGCCAGTGAATTGGTTCCAGCAACAATACATTGCTGAGCCATCCATAAACAGCAACATTACGTATCTTGGAATAGCTTGGTCTTGAGTGGCATTTTGATCCGATAGCTTTACGAAATACTGGCTTCGAATGGCAATGAGAACTAGAACTGGCTTCTTGGTTGCGTCAACCTGGCTGCCTGCACTTCTGGATTCTCCTTGGGGAAGTGGCTATTATGGCAAACATGATGATGAATGAATTTACCTCTGGGCCACTGACAGTGAGTTAGAGTAAGATGACTGTGAAAGACAAATTGTTTGGCATAAAAATAAGTTTCAAGGCACTTGCAACGGAGCAGGGATAGGGAATATTCTGATGGTCTGCGGTGTCTTTGCCAATGCTAAACTACAGGACGGTATGTTTGGCCATGACTACATGCTCAACTGGCATAATGAATGTCCATGCAGCTTCCCTCCAAGATATGGTCCTAAATTATTTTACGATGTCGAGATTCCTCATCCCCACCCAGCCCAGACCATCTCAACCCTTGCGTTGCAGACAACTACCTTTGATCTGGTAGGCGCCATCATTGAAAATGATATGAAAGACATCATAGACAGAACGATTGGCATCCAGCAGGTTGGAGTTGCGATGGTAACACACAAAGCCGTGAGTCCCACGAAGAACCAGAATGGGCCGGTTGATCAGCTTGAGAACGAATTCCTCATCCTCCCCTATGGTCAGATAACTGCAGGTCAGTGAGGTCTGAGGCTCATGGGACCGGGAGGAGGTCAGGATCCCAAACGAACAGCTGAGAATCATCAGGCTGTGGCCAGAATGAGTACGGCCTTGCTGTCTCAGCACCCAACAGATTTCCAGGACCCCCCACGCTGACATTTTCCCCCTGACATGTTTGCATTTCAATGGGAAATTTGCAGGTAGGGGTGTGATCAGGTGGCTGGAAAGGCATGCACCTGATCGCACCAGAAAGGGTCACTTTAACCCTTCAGTCTGTTGAGGAATTCCTCCAGCCTAATCCTTAATAAGCAGTAGTCTGGCAGCTGAACCAAAAAGGTCCCACTTGGGCACCGATTGGGATTAAGCTGGAGCTCATTTCCTCGTATGTCATGAGATTGCCAGGAAATAGATAGCACCAGCCCATTCCATAAGGGGTCCAAATTGTGATCTATTTCCCCATGTAATCATGCCCTGGGACTAGTTTTTATTAATCTCCTTCCAGTTTGGAAGCTGAGGTTAGGCCCCTCTTTTCTGCAATCTCCCTGTCCTTCCTCTTCCTAAAGGCTGCAGCCTGCAAACGCTGAAGAACGTGGTCTCTTCTCCTTCATGGGCAACTGACATCAGTCCTTATTTTGAAACTGAATGGCTGTGTTTCAACAGATTGCTCACTGGTTAGCTGTCATCACACATTACACCACAGAGTGGTTCCCAATGCTGGGTCCCCAGATATTCTTGGACCGCAACTCCCCAAAGCCTTCATCACTGGCTTGGCTAGCCAGGAGTTTGGGGATTTGTAGTCCTAGAACATCTGGGGACCCATGGTTGGTGTGGCATTCAGCTCTGCTCTCACCTGTCCGTCACAGCTGGGCAGGGGAACCTCAGCCAATGAGGGGACGGAGGGGGGTGCAGAAGTGGGAGGAGCTGAGTTATATAAGGTGTGTGTGTGGAGTTTTGGGATCAGTTCTGAGAGATGAGTAATTAGAGAGATTGATAGTGAGTGAGAAAGAGCCTGTCAGTTAGGGAAAAGTCTGTGTGAGCTAGTGTCTGAGAAACAGTGATTGAATAATTGATTTATACCTGTGATTTACTCCTTTTATTTCTTGTAATCAATAAATACTTTATTTGTTTTGAAAAGAAACCCTTGTCCTTTTGATTTAAAGGATAGGTTGGTGGCAGCAAGTTTTTGAAGAGAAGTAGTGGGCACTCTTATAGGCCTGGATGGGTAGAGGCTTGAGAGTGGCCTGCTACAGTTGGGAACCACTGGTTCAGTGTATTGCAAGGGCAGGGCCCATGTGGGCCTCTAGATGTTGTTGGACCACATCTTCCACAAGCCTCAACTACCAGTTGTAATCCAACAACCTATGGAAGCCCGCAATTTACTCATCCCCAGTGTAATGAATGGGTACACCAGGAATAGGTCTACACTTAAAAGCGAATAGAAGCTTCTTTCTGCCACTGGACCCACCTCAGAGGTGCCTACGGGGGATGCACATGGAAGTCTGAGGCAGCATCCCACAGGTGTGATCCTTTTCAGTACACCTGTTCCAGAGAGAGCTGTAGTTTTGGGAGCTGGCCGTTACCATCTGCTCTCCTGACCTCACCAGTAGGTTGGATAGATGTTTGAGGCGCCCTACAGGGCCGTCCTCCTTTGCTCGCTGTTGCTCCTTTCCTTCTGCCTACAGCTTGAAGGAGATGAACACAGCTACCTCTCTGAACACTTACTTTCCCCTTCCAGTGGAGTAACTGAGGCTTCAACGTTCCACAAAACAAACAGCTGTCTAAGGGAAAGGTGGAGAAGGTGTGGCCCTCAAGCGGTTATTAGACTGTATCTCCCACCAGTCCAGGCCAGTATAGCCAATGATGAAGAAGACTGAAGGGAGTTACAACCCAACAACATCTGGACATTCACCTACACTTCTTCCCTAGTTCAGTTCCCCCCCCCCCGTTCACCTTTCTGACCCTTGCAAGTGTCCTTTTTCAGTAAAGTAGCAGAAAGAAACAAAGGAAGTTCAGCTACAGGATTGGATTACTGGTTGCTAGTAGTATTGGACTACAAACTCCATCAGCCCCCACCTGCTTGGCCAGTGGCCAGGGACAACAGGAAATCCATCAAAATCTCAAGGGCCACAAGTTCCCCACTGATGCTTTATAAAAAACATACAGACCATGCTTCCTTGTCTAACATTGCTGGGCCATTGGAATGGAGACAACAGGAAGAATGCCAGCCTTAGCCTTGAATCCGGTTCTGAGACTTACCCACTGTGTCACTGACAGCTGCCAGTTGTCCATTCTTCTTAGTGCAGATATATTTGCCGTTGCCAGCTTTGAGGGCTACGCGGCGCCCACGCCACTCAATGTCAAACATGGTGCTAGGAGATCTAAGGGGGTCAAGGCAGAGTGGCAGATGCAGTGATCAATGGGAGAATTAAAATGGGAAAAGTTTTTATTCCCCACCGCCACCCAAAATGCTTCCCTCGCATTTAGGTATTAAGTATACTGAAGCTGTAAACTGGATTATGCTAACATGGTACTGAATTGTACTCAAACCGGTAGGATTTATTTCTGTATAACACTACATTGGCTTGCACGGTGAGGTGGCAGCATCCATGAAGCCTTATCACATTCCACTGAAGCCTCTTGCTCCAGATTTCTGTTAGGGCAGATTCATTCATATTTAAAGGAGGAGCATTATCCCAGTGTCTCATCTGATTGCAAAGTACAATCTGAACAAACCCCTTCCTTTTCGGTCGCAGATGTGCCGAAATATCGGTAAAGCTGTTTTTTCACTGGCATCTATGGATGTATAATCCAAGGGCTAAACAAATTCTTGGCAGTTTATTCTAATCTGCATTTCTCCAGCTTTAACCTTCAGTGTTTGGTTCACATTTTTCTAGATCACAGAGTTCTTAAGTACTCCCAAAATCCCTGTAAAAATAAGCAAATAAATAAATAAAAAATTAAAATCAAGCATTGAAGGGTGAAGATACAATTAGACAAGATGGCAGATCTGTGATTGGATTTCCCTTTTTTTTACTTCTTTTACTATCACTTGTGATGGTGGGAGAATAAAGCAAATCAACGTCATGATAGGGAGGAGATGTAACCCTTCTTCCCATTTTGTTTGCCATGATCTAACGTGCATCTCTGAATTTGCTCTTTGTTCTGCAGAAGATTCCAGCAGGGACTTAACCACACTGCAACTCCAAGACGACCCTCTCTCACCCATGCATTCCTTACAGTTGTTTTAAAACTGGAAATCTTGCAAGAAACCTAGCCATAAATCTTCCATTGTCTCCAACAGCCCGATTTCAAGGTGTCACTCACTGGTTCTCTTAACCATGTGTGAGCCATAGAACTATGCTCAGCTGCCATGCAGCTGACAACACTTAAATGGCCCAAACGTGTGGAAGGGGTGAGGTGCACAGCCTTTTGCCACAGAATTATGGTCTGTGGATGAGGTCTTTATGGTAGAGTCTATAATCATGTCTAGTGACTTCCTGGGAGAAAGTAGTTCACATAGATGCAGATGTAGGTCATCTACAAAGGGAATCATTTGAATAGACCATATTTAAGCTATCCCCCCCACTTATATGAGTATGTCAACATTCCCAGTTTCAGGGGTGGAAAGAAAGCTCCAGTGAGGACAAACTGATTTGCGAAGGTGCCCCTCAGCTCGTTTTTTTTGCTGCTGTTACTAGAGAGAAGAGGAAGAGGCAGGCAAGTCACACACAGCTGATTATCCTGGACTAAGTTAATAGCACCACACAGATCGCTTTCTCCCTTGCCATCTAGCCCACCAGTTTCCAACTTGTGACTTCTGCGAGTCACCGTCTGAATTCAGGGGTGTTGTAACAGCGACACTAGCACTGTGAAAAAAGGTGGCCAGAGAAGCAATGAAGAAGTGGCTCCCCAATGCATGTTTTTGTTGAGGTGGGTTTCAGATCTGAGAAGGCTAAAGGCTCCTAACTGAGAACATTCAAAGCATAAAGTGAAAGCGGTGTCTCTGCTTTCACTTAAGGCTCACCAGGTACTGTCTGTGACTGCAACCAGTCGGCCCATCCCCAAATATGGGGCACCAAAATTATTGCTGTATGGAGTGTAACTGAACCACTGTCCTTTGCTCAGGTTGTTTTGTGTCGCAATCCAAGATCCTACATTCTTACACATATATGAACATTTATTGTAAATCTGGACAAACACAGTGCTCCAGCTATGCTCTCTCTTTCCTGGAAGGCAAGCAAAAAGGATGACATCTACACACTGAACATGAAACATGAAGTTTGCTGCCACAAAATATGCTCATAGCTGCTGAGTAAAGATTTGAGCAATCCACAGAGAACAAGATCAATGACTAGTATTAAAGATGTCTATAGATTATCTGATGCCTAGTGTGGTACGGTGGTCCACAATAGTGGACTAGCACTTGGAAAACCTGAGTTCAAATCCCTACTGAGGCACAAAAACTCGTAAGTAGTAGTAGTAGTAGTAGTAGTAGTAACAGCAGTAACAGCAGTAACAGCAGTAACAGCAGTAACAGTAGTAGTAGTTATTTACAAGTCAATATTTTTATAACTTTGATTGAATGTGCACATTATTTTTGAATAATAACAATAATGTCTGCTGTTAAGTCAGTTCTAACTTATGGTAATCCTTTTTAGGGTTTTTCAGGTCGAGAGTATTCAGAAGTCATTTACCATTCCCTTCTTCTGATGGCACCCTAGGACTGTGCAGCTTGTCCAGGGCCACACACCTTGGCTCTTCCCCTAGAGGCATAGTGGGGAATCAAACTTCTAACTTCTGGCTCTGCAGCCAGATGCCTATCCCACTGAGCCATCCACCACTCCTTAAATATGTCTCTTACCTTGAAAGCCCTACTTGGGTTCCTGTAACTCACTTCCAACTTCACAGCACACTACACATAACATACTTTATCTCCAGTATGAGAGGAAGTATGCCTCTCCATACCAAATGCCAAGGGAAACAAGCAGGAGGGTGCTGCTTAAGGAAGGTAACCTCATTTCCTGCTTGTAGATTATCCCCAACTGTTTGGCCACTGTGGGGACAGAATGCTAGACTAGACGGAGCTTTAGGGTAATCCAACAAGGCTTTTCTTATTTGCTTGTCACACTTTTGTTCCTGGCTAGAAGAAACCTTGTCCTAAGTCTTCTACCTCCTTTTTCCATGTCCTGGTTCTCCTTCCACCACGATCTCTAACAGAAACTGTCTTACAGTACCTGTCAGTGAAATGAGGACATAGTCCAACTCACACTTCAGTAGCCATGGCTTGAATCCCCCCATGTGACACCAAGGTCCAGTAGTTGCCTGTGTTCGAATGGAAGATGCACTTCTTGGTCTCTTTGTCAATCTGCATCTGGAAGGTCTCATGGTGTGTCTCTTCATCCTGATTGGCTGAGATGTTGACCCCTGGAAGGAAGGACAGCCTTTATACTATTTAGATTCACAGCATCCCCCTGCCTTGCCATGGCTAAGGCCACTGAAAGCTGTGCCCAAGGCCAGCAACAAGGGATCAAGTGGAGGATTGCTTTGTACACATGGGCAAGGTATGGAACACATAAATAAGTGATTGGGGTGGGGAATGAAACAATGAAAATATGATTTATTAACCAAAAAAGAAACACAGTACTATGCAAATTATAATGGATAGTAGATCCTGAAACTAAAAACAACAGGAGTGGAGCTCTTTCTTTCTTATCCTAAGGGTAAGCAACTTGCTTACATGCTTCTTCTTTGTAGTCTCTGTAAATCACACATATGGCTTCTGGCGTCTGCACAGAATGATCTTGAGAACCAGCTCAGAACTGCAGTGGAAGGAAAAGTGCTAATGCTGCTCTCCTTTTTTGCAGGGAAACCAGTTCAGATCTGTGGCCGTGGGCACGCAACTTATTGCTTTTGCTTTAAACCTGCAACAATTGCTTCTTTTTTGTGAATCGTGTCATCTGTTGCATGATCTTCCTGGGGCTGGCTTGCCTAATTTACTCGGCTTCCCCACTGCCCTGGAATATGCTTGCCAGTCATCATCAGCTCCATGCTAACATTCCAAAGGGGCTCAGGCGTTAATGACACAGATAACCCCGCCTTATCTCAATCATCCTTCCAAAGATCCAGTGATGTGAGTCACTCTCATTCCCATGTGATAAATGGGGAATGGCTGATGAGATAGAGTGATTTGCTCTAAGCCACCTAGTAGTCCCTAACAGAAGTTAGTCTTTAATCCATATCCAACAGCCTTATAGTGACCTCATTTCTCTGGGTGCTGATCCTTACCAAGATGAAACATTGCTATCCAAGCACAAGAGAAGAAGTATTAGCAGACTTGAGGAAATCCTGACATTTAATAATAATCATGGGCGGTCAAGTCAATTCTGAGTTATAGCAAACCTTTTCAAGGGTTTTCTAGGTAGAGAGTACTGGTTTGCCATTTCCTTCTTCTGGGGGGCATCCTGGGACTGTGTGCAGGTTGCCCAAGGTCACACAGGTTGGCTTTTCTCCCAGGAGGCACGGTGGGGAATCGAATTTCCAACCTCCGGCTCCGCAGCCGGATGCCTAAACACGACTGAGCTGACATTTACAAACACAGAAACATCCTCATCCGTTCAAAACAGCCCAATAAAGACCGTGGCTCCAGAATGCAGATTGTCTGTTAGGCAGCATGCAATTTATGTACACAACAATGTGTACAAAGAAGATCTAGCAAATGCTAAGATAACACCATTGAAGAAGGCCGCTTCTGGTCAAAAATAGTCTAATGATCTAAACATTTTAATTTGTTTTTAATGTTACCTATATTTAATATACATCCATAATTTTAACTTGTGCAGCAGTCTGATAGGAAGGGAGGGAGGAAGGGAGATGGAATGGAGTGGTCTATCCTTGGAAAGGACATGGCTGGACTCTGATCAGAGCTCAAAATATTACATTTTAAAAGGAGCAAATAACTACAACTAATTAATTCTCTGGAGCCATTCTGCTGCTACCAATATTCCAATCACACAAGTAATTCCTTGCACTACATCTTATTAATGTTTTATTTGTTCGTTCATGTACTTACTTACTATCCTGCATTTCTGCCTGTACAGAAAGGGAGAAAACATCTTTGCATCACTAATGTCAATAACAATAATAATTACAAGCTGTCAAGTCAATTCTGACTTATGGTCAATTCCAGGGTTTTCTAGGTACAGAGTACTATACTCAGAAGTGGTTTGCCATTTGCTCTCTCTGGGGTTGCCAGCAGGGGCAGGGGCAGGTTGCCTGCAGCGCAGCTGTATATGCTGGCTATTCTTTTGAGATGCACAATAAGGAATCAAGCTCCCAGCACCTCGGGCTCTGCAGCAGAGTACCCGACTCAGAGTGAAGCTACACTGTTGAAATGAATCCCGGCTGGATCAGGGTTTTTGAAGTCAGTTTTAAGTCATGCAGTTTTTGTGTGTCGGTGTGTGCATCCTTTTGGGACAACTTTTATTCCGGTTGTATAATGCGCTGTATACCAGTCAAGTGGGATACATGGGCTTTAATACTGCTGCCTTTTTGTTTGTTTGTTTGTTTGTTTGTTTATTTGTTTGTTTATACCCTGCCCATTTAGTCATTTCAACCACTCTAGGCGGCTAGAGCAAACTGGCACCTCGGTGCCCCATCTTCTGACTTTTCCAGGTCCCTCATCATGCCTTAAAATCATTTTCTTCTGCTGTGGTGTTTTTTGTCCTTTGGTGTAGAATTGTTTAATCTTTTTGTTACTTGTTTGTAATATTTTAAATTTTTATGTATTTCAAAGTGACAAAACGCTTGATGTTACGGATGGAAAAAATATATAACAGTCTTGATAGCAAAGTACCCTGCAGCCCAAAATCTGTGATCCTGGCATAAAATACTTGTCAAACCCCACAGACACAATTTACTCCAAATGACGTGAGTATACATGCCAAAATGTTTTTTAGAAAAACCATGATCAAAATCAATTCAAAATAGACAATTCCCTTTTTAAAAAAAACACTTTCTGACCAAAAAATTCTGCACATTTAGCTCTATGTTGTGTAGGTGGATATTTGTAAATTCATTTCAAGTGTGAAGAAAAAATAGGATTATGATGTCTAGTTGAGCCCTCATTGAGCTACCCAGTCAGCTAGGCCAGGGCAATTACTTTCTGGTTCTCTTTGGTGGCCAACACTGTTATTATACCTTGCAGAAGAAGAAACCAAAGAATACTTCATTTCCCACTAAGAATTAGTAACAGAATGGCATGAAGCCTGGCATATTGGTATTCCTAACTGAATACTTCTAAAAATGCCTTTAAAAGCTCTCAACAAGTAACACTTGGAAATAACTAGGTGCTAATTAGTATGCTCAAGTAACTCATCATACCTAAAAAGTAACTTTGTAACTAGTGGTAACTTACATGTTACTGCAAACTAAAGTAACACATTACTTGTAACTAGTTACTTCAAAGCAACTAATTACAAGTAATGTAATTATGTTATTTGTAATTAGTTACTTCCCGTAACTTCCAGTAACATACATTTTGTTGTATGTTCTCCTTTCTTCTGTCTGTTGGGCAATGCCACATGGAAGCTAGGGGCAAACATTTCAAGTATTTCTCTTTTTTAAAAATTCTTTGAGGTTGTTCTCCATCGTAATTACCTTTCGTAATAATGCTGAGAGCTGGGAAGTCCCCCACTCCAGGAATACCAATATGCCTGGAAGTACAACATCTAGGTTATCCTCGCAGCCCCAGGACATCCAATCACTGATTTATTTATTTTTTGGTACAGCATTCTGAATGGCTGCTAGCCTGAAACCTTGGTTGGCCCAAAGCACCTTCGTTGCAGGGCTGTAACTGTGGTTAAGCAAGTGGGACTTTGCTCCAAAGCATAAGCGTTAGATGCCCCCAAAATCTAGAGATGATTGTACTGGTGAGTGTGTTGGAAAATAAAGAGTAAAGCCACCCAGATCTCTTCACTTTCCTTTTTGTTGAAAGCACATGTTTTCTCTTTGTTTCCTCTTTGTGGTGGTGGTGGTGGTGGGGAATGGCACATTCTCTTCCTGCTTTTTCATGGGAGGCCTATGTCCACATCTCAGGGCACAGGAGGTGGGAGACCCCGCTGTTTGCTCTGAGTGTCAGAATTGCGAGTTACATTGGTCCTTCCCAGCCCTGAACCCTCTGTTGCTAAGCATTGGGTTCACAGCCAGCCAGCCAGCAGCAGGCCACTGCTCTTGACCCCAACGTCTTCCCTTGTGAGTCCTGTCTCCATGCACCCAACCTTAGCCTTTCTGCTGTCTGCCTCTTTCAGTTTTGACCTCAGTCGCTGACATGTGACCACAGAAGACTTCCTTCATTCTCCACTTGAATTTCATGATTCCCACTTCTAACACTGACCATTTGGGCCACCCAAATGAAACCACAGGATAGGAATTAATTTATCTCTCTATCTCACCCATTCTCCTTCCTCTTCCAGCCTAATAGTACATGAGACTCAAGCAATCCATTTTCCGGCCCTTCTTTATTTTTTGCTTTCACTTTATCCTGGCTGCAGTTGACTCCGCTTTTATCACAGCATCAGAAGTGCTGCTTCCAGGTCTTATGGTCCCGCCTAGCTAGCTGTTCATCTATGGAGAAATATTGGAGCAGGCCAAATACTTTGTTTCCTGGTAGCTGACTTCTGATTATTCTGATTTATTTTTTTTTAAAATGTCTCCCATGGCTTCTTCAAAGGACAATAGAAAAGGTCAGTTACTTTGGTCATGGATCTCCTGCATCGTGTGTAGTTTCAACCTCCTATGCATATGTATACACACAAACACCTGGTGTGGGGAGCCTGGAGAGACAGAAGGGTTTGTGCTGAGGGATGGACACCCACCAAGTCCCCTCAATTCTTTCTTTATTAGGCTGTAACAGGACAAGAATGCTGTGAAGCAGGCATTTAGTTGTCCCCTCACCTGGGAAGCAAACTCAGCCGCCTGGGATCAGAGTTTCGTCAGGCCTTCCTCATAAACAGAAGGCACATCCTGAACCCTTTTGGTGAAAAATGCCCTTTGCCTCCAGTTTGCCCAGGTCTTCCATTGTTCTTATCATATCAAGGTCCAGTTTAAACACAGTTTCCAGATGGTAAGAACATGCCTATTGTTTTGTTTACAAAAAGTGACCTCGGTCAGCCACCCTACTGGAAAGGTTTGGATGGAAGCCTTTTCAGTGGCTGCCAGCGGGCTTTGGAATTCCCTTTTAGGGGACACCTGTCTCACCTCTTCTCCAGCAGCCATTTTAGGTTATACATGACTGCTTAACTAACAGAACTAATATTAATTGTCTCTGAGTGGTAACATAGTTTTCATGATTGAAGTTCCCTGCTATTTCCTGGGCTATTTTAGTGGCTGAAATCCAGTAGTAAGTTGCATCTAGAGTAGGTCCATTG